CAGTATAAAAATCAGTGAGTTTTAATGAAATTCATGTATTCGTACTGAAAGCATCGTTCTCTACCTCTACTACGCTCCTTAGAGATGATCGTTAAGGTGATCGACATCATCCATGTTTTTTGCAGGAGCGGTAGTCTCAAAATCTACCGGGTCACGGAACGGAGGACGAAAGCTGTAGGCCGGTAAACCGAGAATTTCCTGGAGATCCCCAACATGAACTTGCACTTGGATCACTGCACCTTGAATTTTGATCCTGAGCATTCTGAAATTCATGTCAGCGGTTGCTTGAGTTGTATTTTGATTTGTCTCCATTTCCTGCGAAAGCTAATCAATGTTCCGAAGTTGCCGAAATGTTGTGTTATCAGGAACTTGTAGTGGAGCACCAGCTGGAAGTCGAGCTTGCATTGTTGCCATGTACAGCTGTGAGGCTGGCCCACTCGAAATATTGCGCTCAGCTAGCATAGCTGCTACACGAGGAACTTGCTCTTAAATTCGATTCTCGGTTGCACTACGAATAGTGTTGGCTCTTGGTTCTGGTGCTCTTGGAACATAAACAAAAATCATTAAAACAAAATCAGACTGATTGTGTAGGCAAAGACGAGCTAATTCCCAAGATCTGGCGACGCGGATGGAGAAATTTTCCTCGTCCAACTCGAGAAATTCACGTTGTGGAGCGTTCTTGGTGGGCTCGAGATAGACGCTGAAGTCATCCTGCCAATCGTTTGGCAGACGACGGATGAATTCGATTGCTACTTAAGCCTTGAATAGTCTAAAACCACGGTCAATCTGAAAGGAGAAGTCGATGGGATCGGTCTTGTTTCGGCACGAAGTCAGAGGATCGCCGTTCTTGATGGTAAGGCGGCAGGTAAGAATTGCTGGTAGTGGCAGCGACATTGTAAAACTAAAAGTGAGCCTTTAAGCCAAAAGATGCCATGGCGTGGGAGAATACTCACGGTAGAGATCGACAAAATTTAGGTGATCATGTCGAAACGGGATGGAATTTTGCCTAATGTCATAAGATGTGGACACAATCTGTTTCGGTTTTGTTAATCTTTTTTAAAATTTGTATTAAAACCATGATCTGTATATTTGCAATAAATTAGGGATTTAGCCAATTGAGAACGTTTGTGCCCAGGGAATTATCTCATCTGCCGTCCGCCGAACGCCGATTGGACAGAACCTCCAGGTGGTTCAATTATTCCCGGAAATCCTATCCCTACTGATTCATATGAGACTCATCCCCGAAAGGATGTGGTGTGCCGACCCAAACACTCGATTATGTCTCCGATCCGACGAAGGACTTGCACACGACACTCACCTCAAGCATCGAGCTCCCTACAGACATTGGAATTGAACCCACGTCACCTGTTAGCTGACGGGCTAATCAGGCGCATGCAAACCAGTTGCCCATAATGCATACTAATATTT